GGAGTTTAGGGCTGTTGTACATAGGGTCGCTATGAGTCGCACGTGACTCAAAAGCATATAACAACAACAACATCTCACCACATCCTCTCCAACATTTATTACTTGCTATATTGTTAAACTTTGCCACTGTTACTGGAGTGAGACGGTGTCTCATTGTGGTTTTGATTTTCATCTCTCTTATTGTCATTGGTTTTGAGTATTTCTTCATGTGTCTGTTCGGCATTTGAATATTTTCCTCTGTGAAAATTCTTTCCATGTCTTTTGCTGATTTTGTAATTGGGTTATCAGTCTTTTTCTCATGGAGGCTCAGGAGTATTCTATAAACTTTCATTATGAAAGTCTTGTCTGAGATGGGAAAAAATGTTTGTAGGTTTTATTTTCACCCTGTTGTAAAAAGTTTTTGATGTACAAAGGGATTTAATTTTTATAAGGTCTCACTCATCAATTTTATAGTCTTCAGAGTGCACATTTTTTGGGCTGTATTTGGCAGTCTCTTTATACCATAGACTAGGCTTCCTATGCTTGATCCCAGTTAGTATTTTATGAACTTTATGTTTTGGGGCTTTATTCTCAGCTCTCAGATCCACCTTGAATTGATTATTGTGTATAGGGTGAGATGTGGATCCTGTTTCAGCTTTCTGCAGGTGGAAGTCCAGTTTTGCCAGCACCATTTGTTGAAGAGGTTGTAATTTCCCCATTTGATAGCTTTGATTTCCTAGTCGAATCAGTTGACATAGTTAGCTGGGTCTATTTCTGGGTTCTCAATTCTGTTCCATTAGTCTATGTGCCTGTCATTATACAATACCATGCTGTTTTGGTTACTACTGCTGTGTAATAGGTTTTGAGGTCAGAAAATGCTATGCCTCCCACCTAATTTTTGTTTCTCAGAAGTGTTTTGCTTATTCAGGGTCTTTTGCCTCTCCAAATAAATTTGGCAATTTCCCTTTTGATATCTTAGAAAAAGGAATTATGTATCTGGATTGAGATTGCATTGTAGATTGCTTTTAGTTGGATGGTCATGTTCATGATATTGAGTCTTCCTATCCATGGACAGGGCACATTTTTCCATTTCTTTATTGAGTCTTGCAGAAATGTTCCGTTGTTCTCTAGTTTTTTTAATCTCTAGTTGGTTCACTCTCAAGTATCTCAATTTGTAGTTGGCTATTGCAAATAGTATTGCTTTCTTGATTTCCTTCTCTGCATTTAGTTTTTTATTGTAGAAGAATCCTACTGATTTTTGGCTATTGATTTTTATCCCGCCACTCCACTAAATTGGCCTACTAACTCTAACATTTATTTTGTTGAGTCTTTGGGGTTTTTTGTGTACATTATCATATCATCTGAATATAGCGACAGTTTAACCATCTCTTTGCCAATCTAGATGCCTTTTATTTCTTCTTTTGTCATATTGCCCTGGCAAGTATTTCCTGTACAATATTGAATAGAAGTGGTGACAGTGGGAATATTTGGTCCCTGTTTGCAAAGAAAATGTTTTTTACTTTCTCCATTGAGAAGGATATTGGCTCTTGTTTTGCATATATACTTTTCACTATGTTGAGAAAATTCCCTTCAATTTCAATGTTTCTGCTTGTCTTTATCAGGAAAGGGTATTGGATTTTGTCAAATGCCTTTTCTGCATCAATTGCTAAGATCATATGGTTCTTGTTATTTACTTTGTTGATACGGTGAATGATGTTGATTGCTTTTCTTACATCAAACCATCCTTGCATACCTGTTATGAATCCCATGTGGTCATGGTGAATTTTACTTCAATATGCTTTTGGATTCTATTAGCTAGGATTTTGTTAAAGATTTTTGTGTCTATATTCATTAGAGATATTGGTCTATAGTTTTCTTTCTTGGTAGTATCTTTGCCTGGTTTTTGGTATTCGGGTTATGCTTGCTTCATAGAATTACTCTGGAAGTGTTCCTGCTTTATAAATTTTTTAAAATTTATTATGTAAGATTGGTGATAGATCCTTTCTGAATGTTTGGTAGAATTCAGATGTGAAGCCATCTGGTCCAGGGCTTTTCTTATGGGGAAATCTTTATGCCTTTTTAATGTCTTCTTTTGTGATGGGTCTGTTCAAGTGTTCTGTATCTGTCCTTGTCAATCTGGGGATGCATTTCAAGAAATTTGTCCTCTAGGTTTTATCAGAGTATAGCTTTTCTTAGTATTCTGATAGTACCAATTTAATTTCCTCTGGTTCTGTTGTGATGTCACCTCTATCATTCCTTAATCAAGTAATCTGTGTCTTTTTTTTTTTCCCTTCTTCTTTTGTTAAGTTTGCCAGTGGCTTATGAATTTTATTGACTCTTGAAAAATCAGCTTCTGGTCTTATTAATGGTTTCAACTGTTTTT